CTCCTTCTTCACCACCACAGATCAATACAAAGTCTGCATCACAGCAGATGTTGCACCGATCCACCTGTTGATCTCCCGCTCCTTCCTGCCCTCACTTGTAAACAAGACCCCAAGATACTTAAACTACTGCACTTGGTAAGATCTCTTCTCTGACCTGGAGAGGCCAGTCTACCCTTTTCCGATTGAGGACCATATTCCACCTGAACCTAATAATGGGCTGTGTGAGTTTGCAATAATTGGTGATGAGTCTTTCACATCGCTGTGGAGGAATTTTGGCCCACTCTTCTTCGGAGAATTGCTTCAACTGCGCTATATTGGAGGGTTTTCTAGCATTAACTGCCTCTTTAAAGTCACACCACAGCATCTCAAATGGATTAAAATCCGGACTTTGACTTGGCCACCCCAAAACTTGAATTTTGTTTCTTTTTGAGCCAATCAGAGGTGGTCTTGCTGATGTGTTTCGGGCCGTTGTCCTGCTGCATGATCTAAGAGCGCTTGCGTTTGAGAGTGCAAACTGATGGTCGGATGCATGGCTTCGGGATTTTATAGTAGACAGCAGAATTTATTGTCCCTTCAATCACAGCAAGTTGTCCTGGTCCTGAGGTAGCAAGCAGCCACAGAGCATCAAACTGCCACCATCATGCTTCACTCTTGGTATCGTGTCCTTTTGATCAAATTCTGTGCCATCTCTACACCAGATGTAAGAGGCCACACATCTTCCAAAAACTTCCAATTTTTGACTCATCAATCCACAGAAGGTTTTTCCAAAAGTGTTGAGGATCATTAAGATGTCTTTTGGCAAATGTGAAACAAGCCTTTGTGTTCTTTTTGGACAGCAGTGCTTTTTCGCCTAGGAACTCTCTGATGGATGCCACGGAGGCCAGAGCTGATGCAACCAAGGAACAGCATGAGTCGCCTCTCCTCTCCATATAAGTGCCCTCAATTAATCTGTAGTGATTTGGCGCAATTGCAAGTTCCTAAATGATAATGACTTAGTTCATTTCTACCAATTCACCATGCAGTGAGCTATCAAGCTATGACCATAGTCTGAAAAAAAAACTGCATCTTCCCTGAAGTATTTCGTGCTTTTTTTTGTTGTTGTTGTTTTTTTGGGTTACAATGGCTTTGATGTGTGCAGCATGAGAGGTGCACAAAATACAAAATACAAAAGGCAAAACAGGGGGAACTGCCGCCACATCAACAAGTGGTGGAATGGCGAACTACACTCAAATATGACAAGGAGATTTGTATATTCTTTAGCCACATTGGCTAAAAGGTTTCCGGACCATGGGCCAACACTGCATTGCCCAAGTAGAGAGTGCTAAAATTCCAGAAGAACGCTGCCAGAAGCTGGTATTTGGCCATACATCCCATTTGCAGCATGTAACAACAAAAAACAACAACAACAGGTTGTTTTAAGATTAATTATGATCTATAATTAATTGATCAAATTAATCTATATTTTAATCTCATCTACAAATTGCTGAGAAAACCCCTATTTTCATTTTAAATTCATTACATTGTTGAGGCAGATCAAAAAAAACAAAGTATTTTATTGTTTTTTTTAAATAGACTTGAACAGATGCAGTGCTAGCCATTTACTTTCTGCTGTATTTGTGACTAGTCGCAAGTCCTACCTGCGCCCTTTAGTTTCAACCACGAGGTGGAATATCACTGTTTTGTTTGTTTTTGTAAATCTCCAAATAATTGCAAAATAAAAATAAAATAGAACATCAGGTCCTTAAAAAGTGCTTAGGTTAACATGTCAAAAACAGGAAGAACACTTTTTCGAGCAATACCAGTACTGAACACTGAACTTGCTTCGGATAATAAAAAAATCAATAAAAGAGACCCTTAAAACACACTGCTGTAAGTTAGCACTTCAGAAATAACACTGTCCATCGTTACAAAATAAAGTGCTGAAATAAACATCAATCCCTTCCAGTAGGCTCCAGAGGACACAGCACCTATGCTGATTTCATGCCTCGCATGCGGTGTGTTCTCCTTGAGTTTAAGTTTGGCGAAGAGCTTGCTATGGCTCACTATATTGCTTACACTTTCGATGCTAACGTAAGCTCTGGCTGCACTCACGACTGGGTGCTTTGCATTGATGTGGTTGGCTAAACTCGAGCTGCTTCGGTGGTCAGCAAACTCCTTCTTACACATTAGCCACAACACTCTACATTTATCAATAGTCCTGTCAGGGTGTTTTTGGAATGTACATTTTTCATTCATTGGGCTGATAACTCTCACATGCTCCTCCATGTTCACCTCTCCCTCCGCTGCTTAGCTGGCCCTCCTAACTCGAATGAGAGTCAGTTTATGCTAAACAAGCCCAAACATAATGACAGCCAATCAAGGTCCGCTTCAGGCTGTGACTGACCATTGTTTCCCACCATCAACAACTCGAACACATGAAGCCAACACATAAAAATGGATATTATATCAAGAGGCAACCCACCAACAGAGACAATAAAGTTAGAGATATATGCAGAGAGAGAGAGAGAGAGAGAAAGGGGAAGAGAGAGAGAGAGAGAGAGAGAAAATAAAGAGAGAGGAGGAGTGGGGGGACAGAGAGAGGGAGGGGGAGACTAATACACAGAGTGGGAGAGAGAGAGTGACAGAGAGAGTGGGAGAGAGACAGACGGAGAAAGAAAGAAAGCAAGAAAGAAAAAATGAAGGAAAGAAAGATTATGTTGGTCTCAAATTTCTATGTCCATTTATCAAAGGGCATGTAAAGGTCTCAGCAGGGCTACAATGCATTCACTCACTATTTGTTTGCTCAGGCAAGGAGGTCAGGAGAGAGAGATTTACAAAGTACCTGTATGTTGAAATGGCTTGAATTATTACCTTTGTGGAGCTATTTAATCTGTTATTTTCGTTTATCATTACAGTATGTAATTGGTGTACATAAATGTCATTTTTAATCAGGGTTGAATTATTTTGATTGCACCTGCATGTCTTGCTGGCATCAGTTCAATGGGTGGTTGAATATGGTGCAACCACAGCCCTCATTAAGGTGGAATCAAAAGAACGCTAATGATGTATTTCATCTTCAATTTCAAACAAACTGTGTTCAACAAATTTCTACCTCTAGAATAAATTCCTGAAATGCTAAAATAAATGTTCCCTCTAAATTGTGCGTGTGAGCAATTGCACACTGATTCCACCCTCACAGCCTCCCTTGGCAGAAATAGCTGAAATCAAGCGTTTGCAATAATTGGTGATGAGTCTTTCACATCGCTGTGGAGGAATTTTGGCCCTCTTCTTCGGAGAATTGCTTCAACTGTGCCATATTGGAGGCTTTTCTAGCATGAACTGACTGTTTAAGTGCACACCAAAGCATCACAATTGGATTCAAATCCAGATTTTGACTTGGCCACTCCAAAACCTTAATTTATTTTTTTTTCGCCATTCAGAGGTGGACTTGCTGATGTGTCTCCGATCGTTGTCCTGCTGTATGAGCCGAGAACTCTTGAGTTTGAGGACGCAAACTGATTGTCGGATCTTCTTCTTCAGAAATTTCTGGTAAACAGCAGAATTCATTGTCCCATCAATCACAGCAAGTTGTCCGGGTCCTGAGGTAGCAAATCAACCACAGGCCATCACACTGCCACTGCCATGCTTCATTGTTGGGTTAATGTTCTGTGCCAATTTTACCCAAGACGTAATGGGCTGCACATCTTCCAAAAAGTTACATTTTTGACTCATCAGTCCACCCAATGTTTTTAAAAAAGTCATGAGTATCATCAGGGTGTCTTTTGGCAAATGTGAGATGAGCCTTTGTGTTCTTTTTGGACAGCAATGATTTTTGCCAGGGAACTCTCCCCCCATTTTTGGCTTGTGTCTTTATTATGATAGAGTCGTCAGCAGTGACCTGAAATGAGGCCAGCGAGGTCTGGAGTCCCTTGGGTGGTGTTCTAGGTTCTTTTGTTCACCTTCTCGAGGAGTCATTGTCGTACTCTTGGAGTAATTTTAGCTGGTCAACCACTCCTAGGAATGTTTGCCACTTTTTCCAGTTTTAACCATTTGTGGCTAATGGCTCTGACAGTGGTTTGCTGAAGCCCCAGAGACCAGGAAATGGCTTTGTAACCGTTTCCAGACTGATAGTTTTCAATAACTTTTTTCTAATTTCTTCTTGAATTACCTCGGATCGTGGCATGATGTGTTTATTTCTTGAGATCTTGTCGCCTCCTTCACTTTGTCTGACAGATTCTATTTATGTGATTTCTTAATTCAACAAATGTGGTGCTAGGGTGTTGCGTGGGAAGTTGAACTCAGCTTTCACAAAACTGTCATAGTCACAGTCACTTTGTGATTTAACAAGTGGGTGGAATTAACTTTTCACATAGGGACCGGTAGTTTTGGACTTTTTTTTTGTGCATTCATAAATTAAAATGGCATTTCGAAACTGCATTTTATATTTCCTTGGGTAGTCTCTGTGTGATAATATTGAATTGATGAACTGAAACGTTTGTATGTGATAAATATGCAAAGAACACAGAAATCAGGAAGGAGGCAAACACTCTTGCACTGCACATCATCTAACTTGTTACGATCTTACGGGAATTGCACAGGTGTGATATTGGTTTGGCCACCATGTGTGTGTCTGATTTTGCTCACTGTGGTCCCAGCGAAACAGAGTCTGGGTGAATGCTCAGATGCATGGAAAATTAGAGGGAACATTGCTTATCATAAACATGGATTTTAATGCACTGATGGCACTGAGGTCGCTACACAATAAAAAAGGAAACAATTAGTGTGACAACAGAAACTAGTGGTTATCCCACTGCACTCACAATTGCCTCCAAAAGTATTGGATAAACGAGGCCAAAATCTTTATCCAAACTTGGAAACATTTAGGTGTGACATCATAAAATGAATAAGGAAAGGGTTTTGCCCTTCAACTTTTATCTCCACATGTAAATTTGGATTGTCCCATTACAGAACATATCACAGCAAAATGTGGCATGTGACTTTCCATGAAATTAAGCGTTCACCTTTGAATCGTTCAAGGAGATGACGTCCCACGTACCAACATGCTGTCTCAAAGTTGGGAAATGGGGTGAGGGTTTTCACCTTTAGTCGCTTCTCAATGCCATTTGCTCTAAGGAAAATCAACAGAACTGCTTTAGCACAAGTGTAGACAAAATGCTATCAAACAACAATGCAAGGCAGAATAAAGGGTCCTTTTGTGTGTGCAGACCTCATCTGCATCTCCACGCTCAGGTTGTGGACAAAATGGCCAGAGAAAGCCAAGCAGTCAACCGGTGTCAGAATTGCATTGATCCAACCTGAACAAATGCAGACATCATTTCAAAGAAAAGTAGAAAACAAACAACTGTGTATGATATCATAGATAAGATACACATCACACTGAAGGTAGCCAACTCATTTTTAAATGGAGCATTAATGCAGCATTAAAATAACATACAACCAACAACATTAATTAAAAATACAGAACTCTATAAATGGTTAAAATTTTCCACCCGATTTATTCTTGAAATTGGGGAAGAGAAATCTGATTATGATTTTGTAGAAATTAAGAAGTGTCTGTATGAGATTTGTGGGCGCACAAAAATATGTCTCGATAAATAAGTCAATATTATTCATCCAAGCACAATTTTCTTTCTATTAGTTCATAAAAATGTGTTTAGGCTATTATTTTTTTCAGTAAATTAAAGGAAAAAATATTAAGAATAGTTTCCTAAATTTCATTCTAAAAAATACATCCAGCCTCAGTGAAAATATTGGACATGTTTGCATGCTACTGGAAAAAGAAGATGCATAGAAACATTTGACTGGTATTCTCCAGACTGTCATGGTTCTGTTTGTGACCGACAGGTGGCACTGTAGGGCTTCGCTTGCACCTGCACACCTGTTAGTCATTGTGTCATTAGTTTGTTTAAAAGGACGACCACTCTGTGTCGGGTCATTGTTTATTGCTGTCACTGTTTTCTGTTGGTGATTCTGTTCCTGTTAGTCTTTTGCTTCTGTGATGGGTTTTTGTTTGTTACTTTGGATTCTTGCTGTCTTCAGGTTTATGTTCTGGATGTAGTTTTCTCAGTGTTTAATACAATTTGTCAAGTTCACCCTGCTCCTCCCTCCTGCCTGCTTTTTGGGGTCCTCCACCACCACGCATCGTGACACAGACTACTAAATTATGATTATCAAAGCTTACATGACGAGAAGGTATGTAGGTTTGTAGTTCTAACCTGATGGAATGAACAAGGTCTGTCCTTGCTTCAGACAGCATTTGTAACATTTGTCCACTTGGTCAGCAAAGAACATTTCACTGTGATTTGATGATGACCTCCAGCGCTCATATAGCGAAAGGTTGGCAGAGGTGGGCTTGATGAGAAAGAAAATCTTTTCTCCCTGGAAATACAGAACATCCATTTTTTTCTACCAGCAAAGAATAAAGTGTTTTGAGAAATTTGAAAGAAAACTGCTGCAATCTGAACACTGGGTACATTCACACCAAAATCAATTGGTACCTTTAATTAGGGCTGAGTATCGACTCAAATTTCCAAAATCGATTAGATTCACAAGCCCGATTCAATTCAATTTGCGATTCACTTTAGTTTTCTATTGAGTTAAGGATTTTACATAGGACCAATTTTACTTTCATATTGAAGATATTCTCCAAAGTAAAGCTGCAAATATTCGAAAGTTCTTACATTCAGAATTGAACCCATTGCTGTTACGTTATTTCAATCAAGTTTTAATGAACAATACCTGATCAAAACAATAATTTAAATAAATCCCAACCACAGGACAAACTGTGGAAATAAAGTGGCAAAAATACACTGTAAATTCAAGACATTCACATTCCTCTCTTTGGGTTTTTTTTTTAAATGAAAAATCTGCCTTCAAGCTTGTTGACGCTGATTTCAGTGCTTGCGCCATGTTTTGACAGGCTACTCTCACATAGTCACGAGAGCTCACATGACATCACATAAATTTATGGGGAAAAAAACATTAAAAAGGATTGATTTATTGTTTTATGAAAAGGGGAAAAAATCGATCCGATTTGATGAATTTTTTTAAAAGCCAGTCATACCTTTAATACATGATACCAGACAGAGGCACCACCACATTCAATGTGGAAGTCTGTGTAGCTGTCTTTGACACAGATCAGACAGTATTTGGTGACTTTTGGCTTTCCAAGCAGAGCATCGTCAGGCCAGTAGTTTTCAACCCAAGACAAACTCTGCACAATTTGAGGACTCTCCACAATACTATTCATCCTGTTCAAGAGAAAAAGTACAACATGAATTTAGGCATGGGCACTTTGAGACTGGCAAAATTGTACGACATTTTAAAGTTCTCCAATGAGTGTGTACCTTGAATCAGAGAACTCCAGATTGATTATATTTAAGACTTTCTTTCTGTTTGTGCTGTAATAATAATCGACGAATTCTTTAAGCTTCATCTTACTATCAGTCTGTTTAGTGACATCCACAACATCAACTGCGACGTCAGGACCTGAGATGTTTTAAAAAAATAAAAAAAAGGCAAAATTACAACTGTTCAGAAAACATTCATTCATTCATCAATATATTTTAAAGTAAATTAAAACCCCAAACACATTTTTTTCCCAATCTGGGCAGAACCAATAATCTTCTCTTCCTTTTGGCTTGCCGCGTTAGGAACCACTAACAGCCAATCATCCTTTTCAATCCCACCCTTTCTTTTGACATCTCTCATCTAACACCATGTACACTCATGTCTTCCCTCACGACGTCTATCAATTCTCTTTTCCGTCTCTTGCTCTCTTTCCTGTCAGCTCCATCTAAGTTTACCTTCTCTAATTTCGGCCCCAAAACATTTAACCTTGGCTGTCCCTCTGATGATCGCGTTTCTTATCCTATCCAACTTTGTCACTCGTCAAGAAAACTTCAACATCTTCATTTCTGCCACCTCCAGCTGTGCTTCCTCTTGCCTCTTGAGTACCATTGTCTCCAAAAGTTGGCCAACCTCACCAATGTCTTATAAACTTTCCCGTTCATCCTAGCAGAGACTCTTCGACCACATAAACCACCTGACACTTTTCTCCACCCATTCCAATCTCCTTTACAGTGCGTGACTCCACCTCTCTAAATCAGGGGTGCCCATTACGTCGATCCTGCTCGACCGGTAGATCTAGGACTGGTCCCAAGTAGATCCGAGGGGTGTAGAGGAGAAAAAAAACAAAACCATATGTGTGTCTTTGTACATGTGAACATATTTTTTGTGTGAATGTACACTGCACCCTAATCATCCTATCAGTCTCATTTTCACCAAAAAATATTTCTAAAATAAAATAAAGCAGGTACATCTTTAAACGGTGGCGCGTGACCTACGTCACCTGAAGATGTTAGCGCTCAGGAGTCTGCAATTGCAGCTTGTGATCAGAGCTGTTGCGCTATATCTTTTATCGTCATTATTCTCATTCAGAGTTTGCTTCGTGTACAATTCACCGAGGGCACGGGCAAAGAATAGGAATCTAGAGGGCTCAGGGAAGCACTTTAAAACTGTACGTGTGAGTTACGATAGTTAACAGGCTGCAAAAGTGCATCACATGCCTCCGTGTCGGGCTGTTTCTCATCATGGCGTGCGTGCGTGTGTCCGTGCGCGGTAAGGGGCAATCCCGGGAGGTTGGTTGATCGAAAAGTCGATCTTCGGTCCAAAAAGTTTGGGCACCCCTGCTCTAAATGTTCCTCCACTTGTTCACTGCTTTCACAGCAGATCACAAAGTCACCAGTGAACATCATGGTCCATGGGGATTGCAGTCACAGCTCACATCTGTCACCCTATCCATTTCGCTTGCAAAGAGGAAGAGGCTTAGAGCTGATCCCTGATGCAGTCCCACCTCCACCTGAAACTCCTCTGTCACACATACAGCAGACCTCATTACTGCTCTGGTACTCTCATACGTGCCCTGTACTGTACTAACATACTTCTCTGTCACTCAAGATTTTCTCATGTGGTGCCATAGTTCCTCTCTGGGTACCTTGTCCACTGGCTTTCTCTAGATCTATCAAGACACAAATCACCTTATTCTAATGTTCTCTGTACTTCTCCATGAATACCGTCAAAGACAAATAATGCATCTGTGGTATCTTGGTATGTAACCATACTGCTCACAAAAGACTAGGTGAGATGTATATATATATATATATATATATATATATATATATATCTTCCTAACCTCTGCATACTGATCACTGTGTTCATTATGAGACAAAGTCAAGGCTGGGTATGCATAGCATTTTTTTCCAAAGCCCGATTCTTTCTGTGTTACATGTGCACTTACTTACTGTTAAGGTTTTTAAAACAGTGCCTGTCAATTTAATAACAGTTTCATGGTGATGTTTATTTCATTCATTTAATTATAAATGATATGGAATTTAAGTTAGAACAAACTGAATTGACTGACAACAGGGATTGTGTTTGACGTGTGGATTGTGGTTGGTTAGGAAATGGCAAGAGGTCCCAGGAATATTCAGATTGTGTAAGCATATTCTTGCGTTCATGCTTTGTCTAGTATGACAAAAACAGTATTAACATTTCTCTGAGAACAGTATAAATGAAGATAAGCAGTCATTTCTTACCAACATAATTTTCCACATCGCTGATGTAAAATGTGGGAGGTGGCATAGACATGCCCAAACCATCTTTTTTCTGAACCAGGATGGGGTCCTCAAAACCGATCTCTTCCAGGTAATCCATTGTCAGCTGACTGCCACTTAGTTTAACAACAATATCCTCAGCACTGGAAAAAAAGCACACAATCATGTCAAAAGCTTTGCGAAAAGTGTGGGTTCATGCACTCTATTGCCTTTTAATGAACTTGTAATGTAGTGTAAAGATCACAAAAGTTTCTTTATTAAACAAGAGCAGAGCAAGACATTTGAAATTATTGAAGAGCACCCTCTAGTGTAAAATGTCGACATGAACACCCTTTGTCATCATTTCTAATGCTGTTTCTGTGACTGGCAACTTTATGTCCACAATGTTTCAGGCGTTATCTGCTCAAGTAGGAGTGTCAACCGGTTTTCATCACAGGCCACACAGTATTAATGGTTGGTCGCAGAGAGCTGTTATTAAAGGCCAAGTGTGAAGTAAAATTGGCCAACCATGTTTTTGAGTAATATCAACGGCTGAACAATTATAAGCATATTTCCGTTATTTTTTTGTTAACGCAACCCTTCCAGATTCTTTGTTTAACCCATAGCAACGCCCTTGACAACGAAAATGCTTTTCTTCGGCAATCTTCGGAAATGACGTCACATGGAGAACTGCGAGGGAAGTCCTTCCAATGAACAGCATTGTTGCATTGCTTGTTGGTAAGATGCCACAGCGGTATGTGGCGATGTATCGTTTGCAATCGACAGAAAAGTTGTACCAGTGGCCGAAGGATAGCAGGACACTTAAATGGAGATCTTTTATTTGCACGAAGCGAATGAATTTCACGCCATCATGACGAGTGTTCTCTGCCATCTCCACTTCAAAGATGACTGCTTTCTCAACCGGTCTGCTTATGATCAAGCATTTGCAAAAACGTAAGCGTGATTTTTGGATAGATGATGATGATTTTGTCAAAGCATAGCTGCCAACACTTGTGGAATGAACAATAGCATAGCTGCCAACTCTTGTGGAATGAACAGTAGAAGGTAGCGACGTTAGCCGAAAGCTAACTCGAGAAGCTAGCAACGTTGAACAGAAGCTAGCGGCGTTAGTTTTGGGCTCGAGGCAAACGAGCTGATGATTTTGCCAAAGCATAGCTGCCAACTCTTGTGGAATGAACAGTAGAAGGTAGCGACGTTAGCCGAAAGCTAACTCGAGAAGCTAGCAACGTTGAACAGAAGCTAGCG